ACACACACACACACACACACACACACACACACACACACACACACACAGGTCTGGAGAGATGGCTCAGAGGTTAAGAGCACTGGCTGTTCTTCCAAAGGTCCTGAGTTCAATTGCCACCAACCACATGGTGGCTCACACCATCTATAATGAGGTCTGGTGCCCTCTTCTGGCCTGCAGGTGTACATGCAGGCAGAACACACTATACATAATGAATAAACAAACGAATCTTTTTTTAAAAAACACCGCAGAGATGGCGCACACATGCTCAGTAATACTGTTTGCTGTTTGGGATATTCTTGGTCATTCCCTTTGCACCTCTTTGCTTATTTTGGTACTGAGAAAGGATCAGACTCTTAAGATTTTTGTTGTTTTGTTTGTGTTGTTGTTGTTGGTGGTTTTTTTTTTAAAAAAGCCACAATAATAGATAGTAAAAGAAAGGGAATGCTTCTGACCAGAGCCACCATGAAGGTGGCACAGCCATTCACCAAGAAGGGGAGCCTGAGGGAGGAGATGGTTGAGGGCAAGTTGAGGAGTTTGGTTTTAGACATGTTCTCTAAGTTTTACTTATTTATTTATATTTATTTTTGGTTTCCAAAACAGGGTCTCCTGTAGCCCAGGCTGGCCTCAAACTTGCTTCCTACCTCCATCTCTCTTTTTTTAAAGATTTATTTATTATGCATACAATGTTTTATCTGCAAGAGGGCACTAGATATCATTATAGATGGTTGTGAGCCACCATGTGGTTGCTGGGAATTAAACTCAGGACCTCTGGAAGAGCAGTCATTGCTCTTAACCTCTGAGCCATCTCTCCAGCCCACCTCCATCTCTTGAATGCTGACATTACAGATATATTCCAGCAGGCACAGCTTTGTCTTTTTAATTTTAAAAATTTAGCATTATTAAAACAGCGTAAGTGTGCAAGAACGTTATAAGGTACAGCTATAAGGAAAAAAGAAAATGCCATCACCTACCATCCAGAGGTGTACACCATTTCCTGTACATCCCGTACAGTCTACATCATTTCCTGCCTTTCAATAACTGTATACTTACATAGGATTTAATGAAGTCATAGCAAAAATGCTTTGGGCTGTGATTTATCAAATAGTTCCCCTTTCCAACTGAATACACTTGGGCTGGTTGTTTGGTTTTTTTGTTAGTTTGTTTTAGGAGGGTTTTTTTTGTTTTGTTTTTTGTTTTTGTTTTTTGTTTGTTTGTTTGTTTGTTTGTTTGCATTGGTCCAGTCAATCTGACACAAAACAGGGTCATCTGGGAAGAGGGCATCTCAACTGAGAAAATTTCTACATCAGATTAGCCAGTAAGCAAGACTGTGAGACATTTTCTTGTTTGATGTGGTGTCATCCCCACTGGGCTACCCCTCCCTTAATGGTATGATCACGTGGGATCAGTGGCCTGAGAGGGATATCAGGGCAGGAACACCTGGGGTGATGGAGACCTCAGGCAATGGGTAAGTATGTTGAGAAACAGATTTCTCAGGAAGCAGGCTTCACTGAGCAGCTAATTTCACTGGGGGAAAGAAAGGCTATTGAAACCCTTGGGAGTGTGTAGAGGCTTCTGGGGTAAGTGTACACCATTGGCCAGGGCCAGGGTGCTGGGAATGCCTTATATGCATGAAGAGGAATTCCAGGTGCTTGCTGGACATGGCCTTGTAAAGAGAGAGGAAATTTAACCTATAACTTGGCCATCAGGCTGGGTGTCTACCTCAAGGGTGGGGGCTATAAGGCTAAGCCAGACATGCAGGCTCAGAGCAGAGAGGAAGGAGTCTTATGCCTCCTGGTCTCAGGACAAGATTTTCAGGGTTTGGACACAGCTCGACCTCACTCTTGCTCCAGGCTGGTTCCCCCGTTCTCACAGCTCCTTGGCCTCACAATGTGGGAGGGCCCAGTCCACTTCGGATGATCCTAACTCTGGGCAGATGGTCCCAGGATG